GTCACGGTGTCCCCAGAAGGAGCCAAGAGGAATAGGACCGTCCTCGTCCTAGCAGAGCCGCCCGGGGTGCGGAGGGCGTCCACGACGGCGCAGTAGCTGCAGCAGGAGGCGCGCCCCGGGACCCGCCCGTCCGCAGGCGCGGATTCCTGAGGGGGAGACTCTGAGAGACTCTTCCCGGGCAGGTGAACAGAGAAGGCTTTACCGACCGGGCCCTGGAGATGTGGAAGATTTAAAGTCACAGAACTGAAAGGGAAAAGGCCTTTCCTTCAGGGCCAGCAGGAAGACAAGCTGCTGCAGGCAGGGCGGCACCTGCTGGTGTCGGGGCAGGCCCGGCCGGGGCTGGGCGGGGAGCCAGTTCTGTGGAGGCTGCATCTGAGCAGGAAGAGGCTTTAGGATTTTGAGCTCCTCCTCACAGCAGCGGGAAGCCCTTGGAGAGCTCCGCGCGGCCGGCAGAAGGAGCGCAGACAGGACAGGCCAGTGAGACCCAGGGAGTGGAGGAGCGGCGCTCTGGCCGCGCGCGGGGGTGGCGCGCAGGAGGATGAGGAAGGACAAATCGGTGACTGGACGACAGGTGGCGCCGGGCATTCGGTCTCACGTGGGAGCCCCCACTCTCACCGCCCGCCTGCCTTTCCTCCTCCCCCTTTGCGACCTTGGCGACCTCAGTTTAAACATTCTGCCCTCTAGCTGGCTCCGACACTGCCCGCCTCCCGCCCCGCCTCTCGGCTCCTCGGCTCAGGCCCGGGTGCTCTGTCCCCTGCTCCCTTCACCTTGCTCCAAAAACGACAGGAAAACTGGGGGGGAACCCCACTTGCATGTTGCGCTCACGGAATTTCCCAGAAATTGGTCTCCTCGAATAGCTCCTGCCGGAAGCCTCGTCCCACGGGCCTCTGGCTTTTCTTGGGGCGGATTTTCCCCACTGCGCTTTCTGAGCACCAAGTCTTGGCCCCGAGGGACCAGGGGAGAGGCGGGGGACATGCAGGCGGCTCTCGTGCATACTCCTCTCCCCTTCGTGTTCTGGTCCTGTCACTGTTGCAGATACTGTCCTCTGCAGAGACCTGCCCCGGTCAGGACCTGGAACAGGGAAGTGACCCTGATAAGCTCAGCCGGGCTAAAGAGCACGCCGGGGCGAGGCCCTGCGCCTCCTGCCCCCAGACAGCCCAAAGCCCAGCGAGCTCCAAGTTCCGTCTTTGGGGAAAAGGGAAGTTGACCTCAGCCGTCTCTCTCTGAGGTCACGCACCTTGTCCCGGAGCTTGCATTGCTCTGGCCACTCGTCAGCCAGGTGGCTTCAGGGTTCTTCCCTCTTAGTCCCTGTCGAATCTTACCCGGTGTCAGCCGCCGCTGTGTGTCCCCTGGGTGGGGCAGAGCCCGGCTGTCTGAGTCATCCCAGCTAAGCCCGGACACGGTGGAGCAGAGACCAGTCATCCCGACTGAGTCCTGCCCAAATCTCAGGTTCAGGAGCAAAATGCATGAGCATTGTTTTGAGCCACTGCATTCTGGGGAGTGGTTCGTTAGCAAAGCAGTGGATAACTGAAACGTGTGTATACATGTGGCAGTTTATGTAAGCACGAGGTCGCAGTTCACATATACGTGTATAATAATGGCCTCCAAAGCACTTTACAAATGGAAGAAGTTGGTAATTAATTATTTGGGTGATTCATGTCCTCCTCATTGTTAATCCCATAACAAACACCAGTTGTTCCCTGAGCCCCAGCCAGGGCTTCACGCTTCGTCAGTGGAAACTTCTGGGCAAAACAAGCGTAGAGAAAATCTCAGTCAGGTCACGGGCACCTGTTCAGTGTAAACAGATTTGGTACATCGTCTTCCATCATCACCCCTCCCCAGTCTGCCCACCCCCTTCAGCCACGACAGATGAGGCCATGCGTGCATGTCCCAGATCCTCAGAGTTACGTGGCCGAGAACCTGGCTCCGCAGCCTGAGCGAGGGCTCCGGGGAGGGTCTCTGTGTTTGCAGCCTCTGCGGCCACACCCTTTAATCTTCTCTTCCACGGTGCCTTTGACTGCCCGCAACGTGGCATAGTTTCTCCCAGACTGCGGACAGGAGCTTTTGTTCCCGGCACCTAACGCAGCTCCTGGTACCCCATGGCGGCTCAGCGTATGCCTGGGGGATAATTAAATGCACACACGGTTTCCAGATCTCACCCCGTCTGGTTGACCTGCTCAGAGTATACTTGGGGTGGACCCTGCATTTCATACAAAGTTCCAGGTGTCGACAGAGTGGCTCAGAGGAGGGGGAGTCATGAGCTGGTCTTTACGGGCCTGTACGTGAGGCCGGGGGGTGCAGCCTCAGACGGCAGCAGCCTTGAGAGATGACGCCCTCAGGTCCGCGCCTCGTTCGTGGTCAGGTACTCGCCTCTGGCTCATGCCTCCTCCAGCCCACCGCACACCGGGCCTTCTGCGCTTCATGTACAAAGATGGAATAGGATTCTTCTTCCCTTCTCCTCCTCCTCCTCCTCCTCCTTCTCCTCCGCCTCCTCCTCCTTCTTTGGAAAGGACTTTGTCTTTCTCTCTCCCACCTGTCTTTGAAAAGTGATTGCTTGGAAACTCCCCCAAATAAACTAAAGCAGGCCAGAAAATGTAAGAAGTTTTAAAGCAACTTCTTTTGGGATCGAGAAGTCAGAAATATAAAGCCCTAAATACGGTTGGACCCAGTTGTGATGTGAGCGCATTTCATTTCTTCAGCGAAGGTGGGCTACCTGCCTTCCCCGGTCCAGGCTTGGGCGCTGGGTGGAAATGGAAAAAAGGCAGATCCTGACTTCAGACCCTAAACTGCAATTTTTAGACACCATGCTTCTATTGTTTTAGTTTTTTGAAATGCTCAGCACCCTGGGAATGTAAGGGGAGAAAACTCGATCTTCCCATCCTTGCGGTTGGTTCTGGTGGTCAGAGCCGACGCGGGGAGAGAAGCAGCCCGCTCTCGGCTCTGTGCCCCGGGCCGGCAGGCACCGCGTGCGGGGCGCGGCGGAACTTTCCCAGGGGAAAATCGTGGAGAAGCGGCCTGACCACAGGTCTGTATGCAGGTCCCACGTCAGCCTGGGTACCCCAAGAGGAAGACGTGAGGGGATTAGACGCGTAAGAGATTTACTGGGGACAATGAGGCCGCGAGCTGCCAGACTGCCGGTGGACGGCCCGGTGGGGCAGTGAGAGGAGGAAGGAAGACGGCGTGGGAGAGTCTTTGATGGCAGCGCCGTCTAAGGACGTTTTGGCAAAGCCGGTGGGGAGTCGTTGAAGCAAAGCTACCTGCCCAAGGAGGCTGACTTGCAGGAAGGGCCTCGTATTCCTGCTTTGCTCCGTCACTGGTCGGGAGCAGCCTGCGGGGCCTCGTGCAAAGCGAGTGGCGGATTCGCAGCCAGCAGCTGGGCCCTGGGTCAGCCCCACTCCCGCAGCGGGTCTGAGAGGTGCCTTTTCCCGGCTGCCACCCAATCGGGTAGCGCCTCTCCTCTCCTCCCTAATCCTACGGTGATAGTTCAGAAACGCAAATTATGTACAAAGCTTTTTTCCTGTTTGTAGCTGTTCGTAGGCACCGACGCAAAGAATCAAACTCACTCCATATGGAGTGGGAAAAAAAAGGGAATTCAGTCTCTCCGGGGAACAGGAGTTGTCTCCTTTTTCTTCCACCCACTGCATAGCTTTTCTCAGGATTGCTGCCAAAGCTAAACACAGTGAGATTTGCATTTCACTTCAGATTGTGCACTTATGAAATCGCACGCTTGCTAGGTAAAGAGATAACTGGGAAGACAAATTCCCCGTTGGTTCATAAACATGATGGGAACTAGCACTGATTAAGCACCTGCATTTACCAGGCGTGGTGATGGGTGGTTTACACAGATCATCTCTTTGAACTTCACCTCGGTCTTCTGAGGTCGCCGTGTGGTGCCTCGTTCTATAGGCTGAGCACAGACCTGGGGCAGGTCGTGCGCAAGGGAAGGAGGTTTGGCCGGGCCTGAGCCCACGGCCTCCAAGCCCAGGGGTCTCTCTGGTCCCACAGTTTCTGATCCGTGCATTGGATAGTTTACTTGACTCGAGAGTATGAATCGTCAGCTTAGACTAGAGCTTTGTTTCGGTCAGAAATTCTAGAGTAAATGGCAGGTGAAGATGGAAGGAGGTAATTTCTTCTCCTCTCCTCACCTCACCCTTCCTCAGTTACTCAAAGCGTCAGGGTGGTTCTGCTACCGCGACCTTGAGACGCTCTTGTCCCGCTGCCAGGCTGTTCTCTAGTTTTCACTCCAGATTTTCACTAGTCTGACTTACTTTCTGGACTGCATTTTGCGTGTGAAATTCACATGAGCATCTTAAAGGGAACAGTTCATGGCGTTTGGTCCATTCACAATGTTGCGCAGCAACCGCCTCTTCCTGGTCCGAAACGTCTTCACACGCAGAGCGCAGCCTGTGTCCACTGAGCAGTTGCTGCCCCCTCGGCTCCTGGCACCCCCACCCGCCCCCTGTCTCTGTGGACTGAGCCGTTCTGGTCATTGCACAGAAACGGAGTCGCGTAATTCGTGACCTTTTCTGTTTGGTTTCTTTCTCTCGGCGTGATGTTTCTGAGGCTCAGCCCTGTTGCAGCCGCATCATACTTTGCTCCTTTTTGCGGCTGAATAATGATCCATGATTTGTTTATTCACTTATCCATTGATGAACATTTGAGTTGTTTCCGCCTCTTGGCTGCTGTGACTAGCGATGCCATGAACTTTTGTGTGTAAGTATTGGAGTATCTGGTTTTCAATTCTTTGGGTATATACCTATGAATGGAATTGCTGGGTCTTTTGGTAATTCTATATTTAACTTTTTGAGGAACTGCCAGACTTTTCCACAGGGGTTGACTCATTTTGCATTCCCACCAGCAACATGCGAGGATCTTAATTTCTCTGTATCCTTGCACTGAAGACAGCTGAGGCTGCATTAATCACAGGATGAGGAAGTGGCCTCTCTGAAGTGCTTTCCTCTTTCTCTTTCACATGCAGCCTACGCAGGACAGTGTCTAGGAGGAAGGACACTACAGCATGATGCAAACAGAAATTCTGCGAGTCCGCATATATAATCACGTGTCACAACCCGGCCAAGCTCTGTGAGCGTTTGCTTCAAATTGCCTCATCACCGCCCAGATGCCCCAGCTCGAGACTCTGCTCTGCACCAGGCAGAAGATGACTGACTGTGAGTTTGGATACACCCACAGGCTGGTCCAGGACTACCTGCAGTACGTCCTGCGGGTTCCGCAGCCCGGGTCCGGTCCGAGCAAGACGTCCAGAGTGCTGCAAAACATTGCCTTCTCCGTCCAAAACGAAGTCGAAAAGAATCTGAAAGCATGCTTGGACAATGTTAATGTGGCGTCCATAGATGCCGCCAGAACGATATTCAATCAAGTGATGGAAAAGGAATTTGAAGATGGCATCGTTAACTGGGGAAGGATTGTGACCGTGTTTGCATTCGGAGGTATTCTCATCAAGAAACTTCTACGAGAGCAGATTGCCCTGGATGTGGATACTTACAAGGAGATTTCTTATTTTATTGCTGAGTTCATAACGAATAACGCAGGAGAGTGGATACGGCAGAACGGAGGCTGGGTATGTGTCATGGAAACATTCCTCGTTGTTCTTTACTGTGAAATAGAAATTCATAGTTTCTTTGCTCATTAAAACAACGGCAAGGCACCTGCCTAAGAATACTATTTTCCTTGGGTGGTTTGCTTTAATTTTTAAAATAAAAATATACTTCCTGGCTCATTTCCAGTGAGTCCTAGAACTTTATAGTTGGAAAATACTTGTGTTTCCAGTTTTTACTCCCAACAGTGTAAATTACCGTAGTGAGGTTTGGGGACTAACGAAGCGCCTCGCCGATGCATCTTCAGACCCAACAGTGCAGACACTCTGTCTAGTACGTAGCTTGTGCTATGGTTGTCATGGCAATGTAGAATTAGCACAGAAAGAGTTGCTATTAGACGCTGTTATATTTAGGAATTTATCAGGTTGCAAGAGACAGGTATAAATTTTTTCAAGTTTATTATTTACAAATTGATTTTTTCCCCAGTTTTCTTGTATAACAAATTCTGGGCTGTAAAAACTTGTTGATAAAAAATAGTGTGCTGTACCACCAGCAAGAACTTTTATTCAAGAATTTTCAAATAAAAATTCACTCTATTATCAGTGTCTCAAAAAACCAAGACTATCTAGGGGCCTGCCTTGGAACGCGTGTTGCTAAGCAGCCTTTCACAGATGGATGCAAACACTTTCTTTCTTTCTTTTATTTCCCAACGCACTGAATACTTACTTTTTAAAGTGCTTATTTCCCACGGACCCTCTCTCCACCCCAATCCTGGCCCTCACCTCTTGAGAAATAACCACTGCTACCAATTATTCTATGTGCAAAACATGCCTATGGAATATATTCATAGAAAATATGCAGAGCGCTTCTTTGTAAATATTTTTATATGTAAAAATAGTGCATGGTTCTTATTCTGCAACCTTTTTTTCACCCAAGCATATTTCAAATCACGTTTTAAAGAGTGCTATACACATTTCTGTTGTAGGTCAATGCTGTCGAGGGGCCCTGCTAGCTGCCGGGCCGGACGTGGCCAGACAGGGTGTTTAGGTGATTTCCAGAGTTCGCTGTCACACACAAGGCTTCAGTGTCCACCGCCTCACAGACCTGCCCTTGTGCGTGTGTGTTTCCAGGCTGGGTGTGGGTTGTAGAGTTGCTGGGTCACATGCGTGTGCATTTTAAATGTGTTTGATCCTTGCCCTCCAAGGTGGCTCGGCCGAGTCACACCCTCAGGACCAGCCTGATGGAGTCTCCAGTGTTCTCCCACTGCAGCTGGCTGACAGGAGGTTGTAGCATCCGTCGTAATTTCCCCAAATTGTTGGGCTAAAAAATACCTAGTTGATTTTGTTTTAATTCTCAGTTCCTTGATTATTAGTAAGGTTAAGCACCTTTTCATGGTGAGCATCTTTTCATATGTTTACTGACCATTTGATTCTTATTCAGAGAATTGCCTGTTTATATCTTTGCCCATTTACCTATTATGTTGTCTCTTTATATTGATTTGTAGGAATTTTTTGATTCTGGATACAAATTATTTTTATATATGTGGCAGATATCTTCTAGTTTGCTGATTATCTTTTAAAACTATAGATTTCATGTAATATGTGTCATAAATCTGTTGTTTGAAATTTATAAGGTCCCTGATATGGTTAGAATTTTGCTAACTTTAAAAATAATTATTTCTCCCCTTTAGTCACAAAACCAACTATGGAGTTATACGTGATTTTTGAATGTTAACTTTTCTGTAAGGCATCTGAATTGACTAGTCTTTTCCTATGTAAAAAGTTCAAAACTTTTATTATCTCTGTACTTTAAAAAAATTTAAAATTGAAACAAAACAGAACAAAACTATAGATTTGTCATTATGAATGTTTAAAAGTTTGATGCATTTGATTCATTTATTAATCTTTTACTAGATGCCTTTTCCATTTTGATTAATGCCTTCCTGCACATCTATAGATATTATTTAAATATTTAACTTTGGTGGGGTGTGGTGGCTCACGCCTGTAATCCCAGCACTTTGGGAGGCTGAGGCAGGAAAATCGCTGGAGGCCAGGGGTTTGAGAACAGCCTGGGCAAAATAGCGAGACCCCGTCTCTACAGAAACTACAAAAATTATGTGGGTGTGGTGCGCGCACCTATAGTCCTGGCTACTCGGGAGGCTGAGGCAAGAGGATGGCTTGAGCCCAGGAATTCAAGGTTGCAGTGAGCTATGATCATGCCACTGCACTCCAGCCTGGGTGACAGAGTAAGATCCTATCTAAAAAAAAAAAAAAAGTTAACAACTTCACAGTAAATGTTGTGAGCTCCTGGAACTCATAATCCGCAGAGGGTGTGGAATTGTCTCTGAGAATTTCTAGAAGCACACTTATCTTCCGGGGGTGGCCCAGGTGTCGGTAAGCATGAGTGTGGCCGTGTGAGCCTGGTCCACTTAGCGGTAAAACACGCACGTTGCCCACACATTCTCAGCCTTCCTGAAGGTCCCAAGCTCTCTCTGCTGTACCGGAGTAGCTCGGGTTGTAGACGCGACAGAGACACTCTCTAAGACGTCACTTCAGAGCAATCTCAGCGCCCTTCTCCCAGCTTGCACCAGACGCTGACTCTGTCGACGACAGGCAGCACTTTTCTGAGTCAGCGCACACTGGCCTGGCGCCGTTCCCTTCCCTTCACCGTGAGGCTGACTGGCTCTGCTCGAATGAATGAGCTCACTCTTGAGTGACGCGGTGCAGGGGAAGTGACACGTCACAGGCCTGTGCTAGCAGAGTCAGGTGGCCCACGGGAAGGGGAAGAGCAGAACAGGCATTCGCAGCCTTACCAAGATGTGAGCCCCAGCTTCTCACTTTCTACCCTCCTGAAAAAGTCCCCCCAAATCACCTATCATAAAACACACTATCTATCATCGAATTAGGTTTTAAAAGTGCCTGGAAACTTTGTAGAAACCGTGACTCAGGAACGCGGTGTGTGAGGGCAGTGTGGCTACGAGGAGCACCGACTCTGAATCAGATAGACCTGGGTTTGTCCCCGCGCAGCCCACGTCCACTCCCTTCAGCAGATCGTGGCTGTGCATGGGCAGCGCACGTGGGGCCACCTTCCTCTCTCGCTCGGCGGTGTCTGTAGCCACCTGCCAGTCTCCCTGCTTCCGTCCTGCACCTGCTGTGATCTGGTCTCCACATAGCAGTCCGAGAGACATTTTGAAAATTTCAATTAGATAATGTCTTGGCCTAATCAAAATCTTCCCAGATGCCCCTTCACCTGGGAACAAAGGAACACAGTCCTGACTGTTGCACTCAAAGCCCTGCGGATCTGGCCTCCGGCTGCCTCGAATCTCGCCGTCCGCGAGTCTCCTGGGCTCCGCGGCTCCGAGCCTCCCTGGGTGAGCGAAGCCCGCTCCGCCTTCGAGGCTTTTGCTCTGGCTCTCGCCTCTGCCGGAATAACGTCCCCTAGAAGTTCGCACGGCTCCCCTCTCCCCTTCGCTCGGGTCTCTGTTCCCAGGCTGCCCCTCAGAGGAGGCTTCCTCGGTCGCCCGTCTGAGATAGCGCCACGGCCCCTGTCCCCGCAGCCACCACTTCCTTCACGACCGCGTTCGTAACCGGGTGTCCCGTTATGTATTTACTTGCTTGTCTGTCTGTCTGTGTCTGAGACGGGAGTCCAGGCTCAGCGAGGGCAGGGATCCTTCCAGCTTTGCTCACCAGTGCTTTCAACCGTGCCCGGCACGTGGTCAGTGCTCAGTGGATGTTTCTTGAACAAATCAATGAACGAATAATCTCCAGAGAAGTGGGACTAACATCACGGTATTCGCCTACGTCTTTAAAAAACTCCGAGGTTCTGATTTTCTTTGGATTAGTGCTACAGTATATTATTTTATGCTTGAGGCTCTCTTGAAACTCAAGGTAGCCGAATTAACACACTATCACTGTTCCCGGAAATAATCAGACCTGAGCATTCTTTGTCTGCTGCCACATTACTGACAGGACATTGAATGTTTATTTGTATAGTTATTTGTATCTCATGGTTTTAAGATATATAAATAGCGACATTAAAGGAAATATACTGGAAAAGAATATATTTGAAAAGAATATTTTGAAAAGAAAAAGAAATCACTCTCACTACCTTAACATCTCCCCGTGCAGACACCGTATGTAATTATAATTCGGGTACACGGAAGAGGTTTTCACGTGACATTATCCTGTAAATATGTCCCACGCTGCCTCTCATGCTCCCTGCGTGCATTTCTAGCGTCGGCAGGAGATTCTGCATTGTAATTCACTTAACGAATTCCCAGTTCTGAGACACTTGGGTTGTTTCCAGGTTTCCCCTTTTAGAAATAACGCTTCAGTGCTAAGCAGGGGTCTGTTTCCCCAGTGCACCCACCCCGGGTTTTAGGAGACGGCCTCACAGTGAATTCCCGACTGTGGCACGACTGTTTGTAGACGTGCACGCCATCGCGCTGCCCACGCACGCTGGACCGCCTCATATCCAGGGAGTGTCGCGACCGCCTCATCAGCACTGGTCGGCACTGTTAAAGATAATTTGGGGTGTTTAATAGGTTTAACATAACAAGGTCAATTTAATAGGTCTAAAAACTAGTAAGGTTGTGTTAAAAATGCACAATTCTTTAACTGCTAGTAATGTTGAGTTATATACTTTTTTATAATTTACGTTTTTCTTTACCATGGCCTTTTCCTTTTTAACTATTATGGGTTTGATGATTTTCTCTTACATTTGAATGAACTCTTTCATAGTAATGCAAATATTTCCCTAGTCTGCTGTTCTCTTAATTCTTGTTTTTTATAGTTTTTTTAAAAATGTTAATCTTCATCTAGCTGAAGTGGCCAATTTTTCCCTTTGTTCACTGTCTTTACTTTAGAAGTTGAATGTACATAAGATGACATGTTCATTGCCCAGTCATAATAGACAATGATCGTTGTCATAATAATAAAATCATTTCAGAGGGCCCCATTATACTCACCAAACGTGGGGTTTATGAAGATTCTAGGAAGGGAGCAATGAGGTGAAGACAAACCTAGAATGTACGGGAAACACGCTGAGCGTGTGAGGGCGGGGGGAGAGGAAGGAGAGACGGGAGCCACTTCCTCCCTCTGCCAGGGCGTGACAGCCCGTGTCCCAGAGCAGGACTCCACGCTCCGCACGCAGGCAGAAGGCCGCTTTCCTAGGCAGTCCCGTCGGCGGAAAACCCCCGCCCGGTTGCCGTCTGCTCTGCCGCGGAAGCTCATGAAGGTGATTCCCGGGCGCTGCCGGCTCTCAGGTCTCTCCCGCACCAGAGAATTACGCGTGGCTCGTTGTCAGCATTAGCCACACTGGGCTACGAGCCACCCGGAGGCACCTGTGACCCCAGGTTCTGGAACTCGCAAGATGCAGAGCGAATGTTTGCCAAGTGAACATTTAAAAAATTATTTTAACAATTTTCTAATCCTTCTGGTGTTTTCTTGGAAATGCCTGGAGCGGAGAGGGGAGGAGGATTTGCGCTCCAGTCCAGGTCTAGGCACTGAGGAGCTGGGCAGCCTTAGGCAGCTTACTTCCCCAGGCCTCAGTTTCCTTGTTTGTCACGATAAGAGAGGGCATTAGGCTAAGTGGCCTCAGAGGCACTTTTCAGTGAGGAGGTACTGATATAATCCATAATTTCAGATTATAAACTAATTAAATACAGTGTCCAGTTCATTGGGTTATTCTGTTTTTTCCTGTATTTTTTTAAACTCTGATCGCAAAGTGAATGAATTGTAATGGGAACAGTCACCAACCTTCTCAGAGGCTCAAAGGTGCTGGTTTACTTTGAGTTGCCTGTGAGTCCTCGTGATCTTCAGTACAACAGTTTACAATTTAGCACAATTTATATTAAAATGTAAACGCATTGAAATCAATGCCAGACAATTGAACAAGAAAGAAAGAAAAAAAAAGTGGACTTTCTGTCCTCTGGAGCTGTCCTTGCTGTCCACTGAGGTGGCCACCAGTGGCTGCGGCCACCGAGTGATGGCAGCGCGGCCAGTCTGAACTAAGATGCGCCGTAAGTCCTAAAAACTCATCAGATTTTGAAGGCTTGGTATGAAAAGAGAATAAAATATCTCATTAATCATT